CTCACTGGGGACACAGCGCTGAGGCGGTCCCACACTGCTCCTCTGGCCTCTTGTGTCCCTCCAGCAGCAGGAGGACAGGACAGCTCCTCCAGTCCAGCCCCAGCGGTTATGGGACACTGAGTTTTGTGTCAGCTGGGGCTTCTGATGAGCTGTCTCAGGGATGGGTGGCTAAGAAGGATCAAGAGAGGACTGAGACTCCTGGAGGATGCAGGTGTGCCTCCAGGACGCAGGCTTTCTCCCTCCTTGTCCCACCATTCCTGCCCCTTAAGAGGGCAGGTGGTGCTCAGCTCTGCTCAGTTTTCTCGATGTGAGATCTTCCCTGACACATTTCAGCCGCTCCAGCCTGCCTGGGGAGAGCGTGTCTGCCTGGTGTGGATTGTCTCTGAGGCAAAGAACTTTAGTGGCTGGTAGATTTTTGTGATGTTCCTGTTATTGTGGGAATGTGAGAATAGAACAGAGCAAGACAATGGGGTTGGAGGCAGTGCCTTCTTCTAGATCTAATGTTTCCGTCTCTTGGGCTTTTGCTGTAGGTTCAGGGACCTGTTATAGTAGAGGATACCTGCTTGTGCTTTAATGCCCTGGGGGGGCTTCCAGGACCATACATGTAAGTAGGAGGACACTTGCTTTACCTTTTGCTTCACCTTTTGCATCCTAGAGTTAGAGTGCAGGCTGGCAGAGTGTGCTTCGCAGGGATTCTCTGCACTCCAGGAGCAGTAGGGTCAGAGAGGTGGTCTGTGTCCTCAGCTTCATCCTGCACTCCAGGGGCTGGACTTGAACTCCTTGAGTTCTGCTCTAGGTCACGGTGCAGGATGAGAGAGACAGACCTGAATTATTGGCTCTGACTTCCATGCTATGGTGTCTGGTCTCACAGACGGCTTGGGAACCTGGCCCCACAGCGGGCTCTGTGTAATTAAGGCACGGTGCATTTCATCAGGACTGTGGGATGAGTGTCCTATAGGTCCTCAAGGACTGCTTTAATCCAGCAGATAACAAGATTATTACATTACAGTGTAACTCCTCTAATAAAATACTGCCTTAGCTCCTGGAATTAACTTTTAGTGTGATTAATTCTTCCAAACTATCTCTGATGAGCTAAGCAGAGACATAAAAGCTCTATGTGATGAAGGTGGCACGAGAACTGGGTGTAAGATGTGAACAAGTTGAGTTGAGAAATGTATTTTGGCATGTCTGCTCACGAGCGAGAACTGGGTTGTTTACATAGACCCCAGTACTGCAGTCAATTAGATACCCTGCTGCTGTTTTCACTATGTCCCATTCAGTTTAGGAGCTAAGTCTGTCATTATTGATAAATAGCCCAGAATGAGGTGATTTGACAGCATATTTAAGAGGTATTCAAAGGACTATGAAAATGTTGGCAACAATGTGTCAAGAATGCCTGTATTTCTGAGAAATAATATGAAAAAATATATTTTCCTCTTCTCTTCCCCTTCAGAAAATGGTTCCTGGAAAAACTCAAACCAGAAGGTACTGTCTCCCATGTTGCTGCTCTGCATGTAACTCTGTCCTTTACAGATTAAATGGTCCCTGCCCATGCTGGGTTCTGCTGAGCATGGTTCTGTGCCCTTCTTCATGGGATGTTGTTTCTCCCAGTAGCTTCACCATCATCCCTGGATTCCCAGACTCCTGCCTCTGCAGGCTGGTGGCAGGGCTTGTGGGAACTTCTGGCTTGTCATCAGTGTGACGTGGAGGACCTGCTGCTCCCTTTGCCCTCTGTGCAAGCCCCTCTCCACTAACGCTCACCTCCCCTGGCGTGCAGTGACTGCCTTTGATCCCGCAGTTACGAGCGTGACTGCAGATCCCGCGCTGGTGTCACAACCATGAGTGTTAGCCACACTAATTCAGAGTGGGCTTTAGTCCTCTCTGGTGCCGTGTGTTTGTTTGCTTCCACTCCCAAATTAATAGCAGGGCCCTGCAGCTCACGGTGTGGTAGATCTGAGGCACTGGCTTCAGTCACAGGAGGGACCCAGACAAGAATGTCCTCGTGCCTGAGCTGTGTCACCTCCTGAAGTTCTTCCTCTCCCTTGTGAATGGGAATGCAGAACGCTCCCTCGATCCGTCTCTAGGTGGGTGTGTTGCACTCCGAGAGAAAGGCAGTAACGCTGGGATCCTTTCTGTGTCGCTCAGGCCTGTACAAGCTGCTGGCTGGCTTTGAAGACAAATCTGCCTACGCTCTCTGTACCTTCGCATTCAGTACTGGAAACCCAGAGGAGCCTGTGAAGCTGTTCAAAGGCCAGACTCATGTAGGTGGTGTGCCTGGGGAAGGGACCATGCTGAGGGAGGAGGGCTGTAATGGGAGTTTTGTAGCAGCATTGTCTCTGTTGAGGACAATTTTGGTGGCTCCTGGGTCACTGAACACCCTCAGAGCCTGCTGGGAACAGGCTGAGGAAGAGTGCAGGTGGTGGGCGATGGGTGCTGAATGCTGCAGACCTTTTGCCCAGCTGTATGTACCAAACGCTCTGCATGTTACCGCAGGCTCTTCAGCCCCCTCATCTCCCTCTGCAGGGTTGTATTTGAGTGCAGTTGTTAGTTCTGTTAATTGGGGGGGAATAAAGGGACTGTCAGCGTAGGGCAGCATGATGGAGCACTGAGTTTGGGGCTGCTGATTTTGGCTATGTCATGAGGGGGTGCTGGGAGAGAGGACAGCACCATACACCGAGCCTGTGGTGCCACAGCGCGAGCTCTGGCTGCGTGTAGCTCTTCAGTCTGCGTGTGAAATGCTGCTATGAAACCATGGCTTTCAGGGCTTTTTTGCTTTCTTGTGGCAGGGGCTGATAGTGGAGCCCAGAGGCCCCCGAGATTTTGGCTGGGATCCCTGCTTTCAGCCGGATGGCTACAGCCAAACGTAAGTGGTGTTTTACCTACAGCTCTTTACGTGAGGAAGGCCAGCATCATAGAATCATAGAATGGCCTGGG